TACGTCAAAGACCAGTGTTCTCAGTTAATTACGTGGGAAAATTACCCGAAATATGGGAAATTAATAATAATTTTAGGACTTTTTAGTTATTTATTACGCACACTATGGAAATAAAATAATTTATCATAATAATTGTGTTTTAATGGGATATATTTTCATAGGCAAATTTGATCCTTCCCAAAAATGTGGAACTGCAAAATTCAAATTTTCTTACATTGATTTCAAGTCAGTGTCAGGTTGTATGTTAACCCTTATCTTGGCATGACCAAAAATTTACTACGATTTTAAATTTTTTGATATTTATGAGTTAAGTATGATCCTAATAGGCCAATAAAAATGTTTAAAAAAATATATTGTTTTCAGTTTTTCAGAAACCAGGTGTATCATATATGATACACTGCCAAGATTAGGGTATAGAAAATTAAAAAGCTAAAATATTCAAAAAATAATTTTGAATGAACAAAAACATACATAAATATTTTAAAAAGGTATTTTTTAAGCTTCCTTATCAAAACAGAAACTCAGAGTGAAAAGAATATGCCAAATCCAATTATAGCAAATAATAATTACTCAGACTCTTGCTTTTTATACCTACTAATAATGATAAAAGTCATAAAATCGAATAACTTTTTACCACACATAAAATTTGATTATATTTTGTGCATTTTATATTTAATCTGCTTATTTTTCTAGTTTTATATTTTCCACAAGAAGCGAAAATAGGCCAACATTGTCATACTTGACGGCATCAGAAGGTAGGATGGATGGAGTTTAATAGATTTTTATGAACTAATTGCACTCCACAAGCTTGTCCACGCTAATTACTGTATTTCCTACTAATGTAACACTAATATCTTTTAAAAATACGCATTTTTTCTTAAATTATGATTTAAAAATACATCACGAAGCACTTGGCAATGTAACATATATGATACACAGGCACATGGACGGTTATAAAATCGGCAAGTAGCAATACACACCATCCAAACCAAACGAAAAACTCAGAGTAATCCTTCTTCTGTAAATTACATACAGAAAATAACACAAATATTTTGTGATATCGCCAATAAACAAATAAACTTACCACGCGTTTGAAGCCAACATGCTTAGTTTATCCAATTTTGACAATAACTGACAGCCAAATGTATTTTTGTGTGAATAGTTTTTTTTATCTCATTCTATGATATATCAGGAACGTGTTATGTATAAAAGAAATTATTTCTAATTCTTTCGCTGCCCTCAGGATTTTTTAGATTATGATGTATCACCCGTGTTACGATGCCAAGAAAAGGGTTAACGTTTGAACAAAGGCCTGCCACAACATTATTCTCCGCTACAGGTAGAGACAATTTTAATTTTAACTAAAATGCTTATTTTACTTCGAAATCTTTTGTTTTTATTTGAAATCTAACTTGTCTTTATCAAAATAACAAATTTAGAGCCATTTTCAATTTCGTTGTTAACGAAGCGTTGAATGGCGCGCCCGGAGAGGCTTAGTTCAAACGATCATTGCAAACGTTGTGATAGGGATAGAGACATGCGATTTTTGGTTTTACGAAGGTAATACGATAGAGAATAATACAAAGTAATAAAAACCACCGGTTATAGGGGCATTTTTTTGAGAAATTTATCAAATAACCAAAAAAACACGAATTTAAAAGCAATTTTTTTTCAAAAAGTATAATTTTTTATTATTTGTTGGCCTTTTTTATGTATTTTATGTATTTTTTTAGTATTGCCTGTTATTTTGCATTATTACTGTTTTTATTTTATCAGGATATACAGCTTAGTTTAAAAGTTATTACGTTTTCTTTACAATAAGTAATTGGAAGAAAAAAAAAATCTATAAAAAATTAAAAAAAAATCTCAAAAAATTTTTGACCTCTTTTTTGTCGATAAAAATAGGTCTAGTTTCATCTATTTTCATATGTACACTTTAACGTGACTCACACTGTATAACCTTACTATACGGTGCGCTAGTTTAGAACATTTCGGGCCATCACTTGCCTGTGTTGAATGACATCGACATCAACGTTCATCAATTCAAGTTTAAAATAATAGGCAGTAATGTATGAAGAAAGAGCTTCTATTCTGTACCTACCTATGCCCGTGTAATTTTGATCGGTGTCAAATCGGAGTTTTCGTGCGGGGTGCGCGGGTGTTGTGGTGCGAAGCGTGAAGGTCAAACGCTCAAGGTCATTGAGGACTCTAATCGCCTTAAATGAAACCATCAATCGAGCAAGTAGGATTTTATTATTATTCATCAATAATCAAATTCTGAACTTGAATATTCAACTACAATGTCTGCTCATGAACGCTTCAAACTCGGTAGTCGGTACTTCTTTCCCAATTCCATAAAATTCAATACTTACAAAGTGACAAAAAACTTTAAAATAGGTAGTTGAAACCATGGACCTATAAAAAAAGTCGGACGGATTCTCATCAACAAAATACTGTGACATTAGGATACACCAGCTTGCCTGTACGTACAGGCCGGCACGCACACATTCACACCCTGTTACACCACTTCGAGTGCAAACTTCACACAGTTGACACATTTATGCAGCGAAAAAACAACACGAATACGACATGTCTTGTGTGATGAAATTGTGTAAAAACCGTTCTGTTCGAACAAACAAAAATTAAGGAATCACATTTCACAGGCAAAATAATAATCCAATCACTTATTTCCCGACATTAAAATATTGAAATTAATTGAAATCAAACGTCATTCACTCGAAAAAATAATACGTCAAAGACCAGTGTTCTCAGTTATTTACGTGGGAAAATTACCCGAAATATGGGAAATTAATAATGAGACGCGGAACCTCGCTCGGAATTGCATGTCATTATAATAATATTTTTCAATAGCGTTCAGCCTTATTGCGTTTCTGCGATTAGATCTAGGTATTTCCTCGAGGCTCGAAAGAAATGATAACGATGACACACATTATTTACCACTATTTAGGTCGTTTTAGGTAAAACAATAGGATTTAAGATACCGCGCAAGCACTCTCAAATTTAACAGCTGCTTAAGACGATTTGACAGTTGTTTGAGTAATGCTTAGCGTTGAATGGCGTTTCAGTATGCGAAAATTCATTTAAGTGGCGTTTGAGAGCAACTTAATTTGAGAGGTGCTTAAAAATTGAGAACTGCTCAGATATTGTTTTGAGTATGCGAAATGTAAGTTTAGGAGCTGCTTAACTATTTGAGAAGCCGTCAAATATTTAAATGGCGTTTCAGTATTCGGCCGTAAGACTTCTAGGCCCGGGAGGAGCGGAATGTTGCGGATATTGAGCGGGAGATCAACAATGTGAAGTAAGTGTCTTGAAGACGGCTCTTGAACAAGAGCTGTGAGGTCTAGAGACGCAGGTATACGAGCTGTAGGTGGAGCAGCGCACGGCGCAGCACGCCGCTTCCAAACACCAGGAGCTCAAGGCCAGAGAGGAGCGGAAGGTGGCCGACATTGAGCGGGAGATCAACAATGTGGAGTGAGTATATTGTAGACAGATCTCAAACAAGAGCTGTGAGGTCTAGAGACAGGTGTGTGAGCTACAGGTGGAGCAGCACGCTGCTTCCAGCACTAAGAGTTCTAGGCCCGGGAGGAGCGGAATGTTGCGGATATTGAGCGGGAGATCAACAACGTGTAGTGAGTATATTGTAGACAGATCTCGAACAAGAGCTGTGAGGTCTAGAGACAGGTGTGTGAGCTACAGGTGGAGCAGCACGCTGCTTCCAGCACTAAGAGTTCTAGGCCCGGGAGGAGCGGAATGTTGCGGATATTGAGCGGGAGATCAACAATGTGGAGTGAGTATATTGTAGACGGCTCTTGAACAAGAGCTGTAAGGTCTAGAGACGCAAGTTCGCGTTCGCAGGTGGAGCAGCATGCCGCTTCCAAGCTCTAAGAGCTCAAGGCCAGAGAGGAGCGGAAGGTGGCCGACATTGAGCGGGAGATCAACAATGTGGAGTGAGTGTATTGTAGACAGATCTCGAACAAGAGCTGTGAGGTCTAGAGACAGGTGTGTGAGCTACAGGTGGAGCAGCACGCTGCTTCCAGCACTAAGAGTTCTAGGCCCGGGAGGAGCGGAAGTTTGGTAGTAAAAGGGTAGGAGATTTTTTCGAACACATTGATAGTATTATATTGCTAAGTTCTGAATCACCTTGCCATTTGAGAAGCCGGCTACCTATTCGCTCTTTGCAGTGACTCTAGTCCTAATGCCGCTCTAATGCGACACACTCCGGGTGCAGTCCTGTTGTCCCCCCTGGCTAGGGGAGACAACAGGACTGCACCAAAAATATCTGTCTTGCGCAACCCATCTCAAGTGCTTCTCAAGCGTACCATATCCTTGACATTTTTCTTACGATATTCTTTCTTATTCTTCATAGCTCTGGCAGCTCGGCGTCCCGGCGCGCCCAGCTAGAAGCGAAGGCGGAGCGCGCGGCCAGCGAAGCACAAGCGGCCCGCGCGCGCTACGACACCGCGCACCACGACGCTACGCAGGCGCGCGCGCATCAACAACACGTGCAGCAGCAGTATGATACTGCTGCCGCGGCTGCCCAGCGCGCCAGGGACTCGCTCAGTGAGTGACGTCATGAGTAGTTAGCTACAAAAGCGCAGGCTGCCCAAGTGACCTATGACACCGCGCACCACGACGCCACGCAGGCGCGCGCGCATCAACAACACGTGCAGCAGCAGTATGATACTGCTGCCGCGGCTGCCCAGCGCGCCAGGGACTCGCTCAGTGAGTGACGTCATGAGTAGTTAGCTACAAAAGCGCAGGCTGCCCAAGTGACCTATGACACCGCGCACCACGACGCCACGCAGGCGCGCGCGCATCAACAACACGTGCAACAGCAGTATGATACTGCCGTCGCGGCTGCCCAGCGCGCCAGGGACTCACTCAGTAAGTGACGTCACGAGTAGTTAGCTACAAAAGCGCAGGCTGCCCAAGTGACCTATGACATCGCGCACCACGACGCTACACAGGCGCGTGCCCATCAACAACACGTGCAACAGCAGTATGATACTGCCGTCGCGGCTGCCCAGCGCGCCAGGGACTCGCTCAGTGAGTGACGTCACGAATAGTTAGCTACGAAAGCGCACTGCCCGAGCGATTTATGCTATACCACGCACCACGACGCCACGCAGGCGCGCGCGCACCAACAACACGTGCAGCAGCAGTATGATACTGCTGTCGCGGCTGCCCAGCGCGCCAGGGACTCGCTCAGTAAGTGACGTCACCACTAGTGAGCGCGTTTAAAAATGTATGAAAATTTTAGTACTTGAACGTTTCCGCTAGGGGCGCTGCACAATCCGTCATACATTAAATGTCATTTTTTGACGCGCTCACTAGTGAGCGCATTTGATGTAAACTCGCACTAGGCCCTCAGTTTGCCACACAACGCGTAGGCTTCTCAAACGAACTACGACACCGCGCACCACGACGCCACGCAGGCGCGCACGCATCAACAACACGTGCAGCAGCAGCATGATACTGCTGTCGCGGCTGCCCAGCGCGCCAGGGACTCGCTCAGTAAGTGACGTCACGAATAGTTAGCTACGAAAGTGCACTGCCCGAGCGATTTATGCCATACCGCGCATACGAAGCCACGCAGGCGCGCGCTCATCAGCAGCACGATATTGCTGTCGCGTCCGCGCAACGCGCCAGGGACTCGCTCAGTAAGTGACGTCACCACCAGTTAGCCACACAACGCAGGGTACTCACCTGCCATAACATAGCACGTAACGTAGCATGTAACGTATCAAACCTTGAAGTGTGTACAGCTCGTCCATGGTCATTGCGTCTCTAGCAGCTATCTGCGAGCTCCCGGATCCGCAGTGTTCGTGACAATAGCCGCCTTTATGCTCGCAGTGGCACCGCCACTCGGCGGTGTCGAACCACAACATCGAACCACACGCGAGCAACTCGCAGCGGGCTCGTGCCAATGTACTCACTTGCTACAATATCTGATACATTACATGCTACACGGCTAGATGAGTACCCTGCTCAACGCGTAGGCTTCTCAAGCGAACTACGACACCGCGCACCACGACGCTACACAGGCGCGCGCGCACCAACAACACGTGCAGCAGCAGTATGATACTGCTGTCGCGGCTGCCCAGCGCGCCAGGGACTCGCTCAGTAAGTGACGTCATGAGTAGTTAGCTACAAAACGCGTAGGCTTCTCGAGTGACCTATGACACCGCACACCACGACGCCACGCAGGCGCGTGCGCTTCAACAACACGTGCAGCAGCAGCATGATACTGCTGTCGCGGCTGTCCAGCGCGCCAGGGACTCACTTAGTAAGTGACGTCACCACCAGTTTGCCACACAACGCGTAGGCTTTCCGAACGAACTACGACACCGCACACCGCGACGCTACACAGGCGCGCGCTCATCAACAACACGTGCAGCAGCAGTATGATACTGCCGTCGCGGCTGCCCAGAGCGCCAGGGACTCTCTCAGTGAGTGACGTCACCACCAGTTAGCCACACAACGTGTAGGCTTCTCGAGTGACCTATGATACTGCGCACTACGACGCTACACAGTCGCGCGCTTATCAACAACACGTGCAGCAGCAGCATGACACCGCCGTCGCGGCTGCCCAGCGCGCCAGGGACTCTCTTAGTAAGTGACGTCACCACTAGTGAGCGCGTTTAAAAATGTATGAAAATTTTAGTTCTTGAACGTTTCCGCTAGGGGCGCTGCACAATCCGTCATACTTTAAATGACATTTTTTGACGCGCTCACTAGTGAGCGCAGCGATGTAAACTCGCACTAGGCCCTCAGTTTGCCACACAACGCGTAGGCTTCTCAAACGAACTACGACACCGTGCACCACGACGCTACACAGGCGCGCGCGCACCAACAACACGTGCAGCAGCAGCATGACACCACCGTCGCAGCTTCTCAGCGCGCTAGGGACTCGCTCAGTAAGTGACGTCACGAGTAGTTAGCTACGAGAGCGCAGGTTGCCCGAGTGACCTACGACACCGCGCACCACGACGCTACACAGGCGCGCGCCCACCAGCAACACGTGCAACAGCAGCATGATAGTGCCGTCGCATCCGCGCAGCGTGCCAGGGACTCGCTCAGTAAGTGACGTCACCACCAGTTAGCCACGCAACGCGTAGGCTTCTCAAGCTAACTATGACACCGCGCACCACGACGCCACGCAGGCGCGCGCGCATCAACAACACGTGCAGCAGCAGCATGATACTGCCGTCGCATCCACGCAGCGGGCTAAGGACTCGCTCAGTAAGTGACGTCACCACCAGTTTGCCACACAACGCGTAGGCTTCCCAAGTGAAGTGACCTACGACACCGCGCACCACGACGCCACGCAGGCGCGTGCTCATCAACAACACGTGCAGCAGCAAATCCCACCACCACCCATGGCCATACCAACCTCGCGGTTATTGTGGCCGAATCTTGAGAGATGCGCGCGGAATTGCGGCTGCCTACGGCAGATTGCACTCCACCGCGCGCAATTCTTGACTCTCTACAAGTTCTTTAATCTTTGTCCATTTGTCCCTTGCCACTCTCCCCCTTCTGGGGCATGGACTCCACTATCACGTTGGCACCATCCGGTGCCTGGCCGCTAGGCGTCTGTCCGTTCCGCCTCCGATGCCACGCGTGCGCGAAACCTCGCAGCCGCGCGAAGTTCGCCTCCGAGCTGACTAGATCGGGGTACCACGCAGGACCGTAGCCCTCCGAGAGCGCTATCCCACTCAGCATCTCACACCGCAGGTCTTCATACAGGGGACAGTACCACAGAACGTGGTGCCTGTCCTCCTCACTCTCGCCGCACTCACACATACTCCCCTCTCGCAGCTTCATGTCGCTCAGCCTTTTATTGAAGCACCCGTGTCCAGTGAGTATCTGCGAGGTCACATAGTCCGGTTGGACCCAGCGCATGCTGAGCCTACCAGCCACCTCCGGGAAGAACTGATAGAGCTCACGACCTTTGGTCTCCTGCTCCCAACGCTGCTGCCAAAATACGATCACCGAATCCCGTATATCGCGTTTTCGACTGCTCATCTCGTCCAGGGTCGCGAGCTGGCGCGTCCTCAGTACAGCCGTCCGTCCAGCATACTCCACCTCGAGGTCGGCGGGCAACACTCCGGCCAAGACCGGGAGCGCGGCCGTGCTGACAGACCGGTAGGCCTTCGTCAGCAGCACGAGTGCCGGCCTCTGCCCCCTCAGGACAATCCCGCCCACCGACTGGACTTTGACCCGCTCAAACCAACACGCCGCAGCATACACAAGCGTGGCAACGAACGTTCCCTGGTAGAGAATGCGCAGACCGGGGTATCGAATGCCCCAGGAGGACGCAGACACACGCGAAACCTTCCCGAAGCATTTGGCTGCGCGCTCTACAATGTCCTGTGCATGCTGCGTGAACAGAAGACCCGAATCGATCACCACGCCGAGCACTGTTCCTGAGCTCACCTGTCGGATCGAGGCGCCATCAAGTTTGATGATTGGGGGCCTCTGGAATTTCCCCCTGATTGTCATCATGGACGACTTGGCAGGAGAGAATCCCAGTCGGTTCCGGGCTCCCCAATCGGACGCGATATTAAGGGCCTCTGTGGCCTTCGACTCGATGCTGGCTCTCGATTGCGCCTCAATCAAAATGGTGACGTCATCGGCGTACGCCACCATGCTCACCCCCTCCGGCATCGGCGATCTCAACAGGTCGTCCAACAGAACGTTCCACAACGTTGGTCCAAGCACAGAACCCTGCGGACACCCCATGGTGGAAACTTTCCACAACTCCCGGCTGCCGACGGTTAAGCCAACCCGGCGTCCGGAGAAGTATCCCGCCAACATCCGATAGACATTGGGCGGGCATCCTCCTCTTTTCGCCTTCAGCATCACCATCGGCCACCAGGCGTTGTCGAACGCACCCGAGATGTCAAGAAAGACAGCTTGGACGTACTTCGCTGTGGACGCCCTGGCCGTGTCGGTAATCGCGTCGATCGCTGTCACTGTCGACTTACCTCTGGTGAAGCCATGCTGGCAGTCCGACATCCCGCTAGAGATCTGAGGCGCGCAGTGTAACATTACACGCTCAAGCAGCTTACCCAAGATCGAGAGAAGCGTAATTGGTCGGTACGCCTTGGGGTCGGTGAGGGGCTTGTCATTACCTTTTGGCAGCACGAGCAGTCGACCGTCCTTCCACACATCCGGAAACACACCTTCCTCCACACACTTGGCGTACACCAGGTGGAACTCCACCGATGCAGCCTTCCAGACATGCGTCAACATTCTTGCGGTCACTCCATCCAGTCCCGGTGCGGTGTTGGGCAATTGCTTAACCATGATTCGCAGATACTCAAGGGACGGAGGAGACGCGTCTGGGCCAGAGGGGACCAGGGCAGCCGAGATCCGCACCTGTTTGTGGTACTCTGTGTCCTTAGACGGATCGTCGTCCGGGCACAGAGCATACACAAGGCCGTGCATGGCTTCATCCACAGTCCCCGCAAAGCCTTCGGCGAACTTCGTGCCGTTGATTACGTTCGAGGGCGGACGCTTCCTGCCACTCGCCACACGGTAGGCCAGACCCCACGGGTCCTCGTTGCCGGACTCGGCAAGCCCCCGGAAGAACGCGAGCTCCGTCTCCTCCTTTCTCCTTCTATATCGCGCTCTACTCGCATGAAACTCCTCTCGTGCAATCTCCTCCGCCCTGCCCCCTCTCTTCCTGAGCCTCTGCCACGCACGGCGTGAAGCGCCGTTTGCCTTCCTATGACACCGCGCAGTGACACGTGCAGCAGCAGTATGATACTGCCGTCGCATCCGCGCAGCGCGCCAGGGACTCACTCAGTAAGTGACGTCACGAATAGTCAGCTACAAAAGCGCAGGCTGCCCGAGTGACCTATGCCATACCGCGCACACGACGCCACGCAAGCGCGCGCCGCAGCAGTATGATACTGCTGTCGCGGCTGCCCAGCGCGCCAGGGACTCTCTCAGTGAGTGACGTCACCTCCAGTTAGCCACACATCATGCAGGCTTCCCGAGCGACCTACGACACCGCGCACCACGACGCCACGCAGGCGCGCGCGCACCAGCAACACGTGCAGCAGCAGCATGATACTGCTGTCGCATCCGCGCAGCGCGCTAGGGACTCTGTCAGTGAGTGACGTCACTACCAGTTAGCCACAACGTGTAGGCTTCTCAAACGAACTATGACACCGCGCACCACGACGCCACGCAGGCGCGCGCGCACCAACAACACGTGCAGCAGCAGTATGATACTGCTGTCGCGGCAGCCCAGCGCGCCAGGGACTCGCTCAGTAAGTGACGTCATAAGTAGTTAGCTACGCAACGCGTAGGCTTCGCAAGTGACCTATGACACCGCGCACCACGACGCCACGCAGGCGCGTGCCGTATGATACTGCCACAGCGGCCGCGCAGCGCGCCAGGGACTCTCTCAGTGAGTGACGTCACGAGTAGTTAGCTACGAAACGCGTAGGCTTCTCAAGCGAACTTTGACACCGCGCACCACGACGCCACGCAGGCGCGCGCGCACCAACAACACGTGCAGCAGCAGTATGATACCGCCGTCGCGGCTGCCCAGCGCGCCAGGGACTCACTCAGTAAGTGACGTCACCACCAGTTAGCCACACAACGCTTAGGCTTCTCGAGTGACCTTGACACCGCGCACCATGACGCCACGCAGGCGCGTGCTCATCAACAACACGTGCAGCAGCAGTATGATACTGCTGTCGCGGCAGCCCAGCGCGCCAGGGACTCGCTCAGTAAGTGACGTCATAAGTAGTTAGCTACGCAACGCGTAGGCTTCGCAAGTGACCTATGACACCGCGCACCACGACGCTACACAGGCGCGTGCTCATCAACAACACGTGCAGCAGCAGTATGATACTGCTGTCGCGGCTGCCCAGCGCGCCAGGGACTCTCTCAGTGAGTGACGTCATGAGTAGTTAGGTACACAACGCGTAGGCTTCGCAAGTGACCTATGACACCGCGCACCACGACGCTACACAGGCGCGTGCTCACCAACAACACGTGCAGCAGCAGTATGATACTGCTGTAGCGGCCGCACAGCGCGCTAGGGACTCGCTCAGTGAGTTACGTCATGAGTAGTTAGCCACACAACGCATAGGCTTCGCAAGTGACCTATGACACCGCGCACTACGACGCTACACAGGCGCGCGCGCACCAACAACACGTGCAACAGCAGCATGATACTGCCGTCGCATCCGCGCAGCGCGCTAGGGACTCTCTCAGTAAGTGACGTCACGAATAGTTAGCTACGAAAGTGCACTGCCCGAGCGATTTATGCCATACCGCGCACACGAAGCCACGCAGGCGCGCGCTCATCAGCAGCACGATACTGCTGTCGCGTCCGCGCAACGCGCCAGGGACTCACTTAGTAAGTGACGTCACCACCAGTTAGCCACGCAACGCGTAGGCTTCCCGAGCGAACTATAACACCGCACACCACGACGCCACGCAGGCGCGTGCGCAGCAGCAGTATGATACCGCCGTCGCGGCTGCCCAGCGCGCCAGGGATTCTCTCAGTGAGTGACGTCACGAATAGTTAGCTACGAAAGCGCAGGCTTCCCGAGTGACATATTATTATGACACCGCGCACCACGACGCCACGCAGGCGCGCGCGCACCAACAACACGTGCAGCAGCAGCATGATACTGCTGTAGCGGCCGCCCAGCGCGCCAGGGACTCTCTCAGTAAGTGACGTCACCACCAGTTAGCCACACAACGCGTAGGCTTCCCGAGCGAACTATAACATCGCACACCACGACTCCGCGCAGCGCGCTAGGGACTCTCTCAGTAAGTAACGTCACGAATAGTTAGCTACGAAAGCGCAGGCTGCCCGAGTGACCTACGACACCGCGCACCAGCAACACGTACAACAGCAGTATGATACTGCTGTAGCGGCCGCCCAGCGCGCCAGGGACTCATTCAGTAAATGACGTCACGAATAGTTAGCTACGAAATCGCAGGCTTCCCGAGTGACCTATGACACCGCGCACCACGACGCCACGCAGGCGCGTGCTCATCAACAACACGTGCAGCAGCAGTATGATACTGCCGTCGCCTCCGCGCAGCGCGCCAGGGACTCACTCAGTAAGTGACGTCACGAGTAGTTAGCTACGAAAGCGCAGGCTTCCCGTGTGACCTATGACGCCACGCACCACGACGCCACCCTCATCAGCAGCACGTGCAACAGCAGCACGATACTCGACGACTCGCTCAGTAAGTGACGTCACGATTAGTTAGCCACGCAGCGCGTAGGCTTCCCGACTGACGACGCCACGCAAGCGCGCGCCCATTAGCAACACGCGCAACTATGTTATGATACTGCCGTCGCATCCGCGTAGCGCGCCAGGGACTCTCAGTAAGTGACGTCACGAATAGTTAGCTACGAAAGCGCAGGCTGCCCGTTCTAAGGGTAATATCAGCATCTTACCTTTAGCTCAGTGCGCTGAACTAATTCCTCACGCGGTGCGCGAGTGGCTTGAGCGTTACTTGACGACTGGCATCAGTTCCTTACCCCTTAGCTCGAAGGTAACCAATTTGCTACGCAACATGCGAAGGTGGCCCGAGAGCGCGCGCGCTCAGCGATAACACGTCAAGTAGTGACGTAAGTTCTTCACCTCCTTAAGTAAGAGAGAATCTGGTCCCCTTCACGCGCACATCAGTCTTTCTCGTGCGTGGACGACGCTGCATAATAGCATTAAGGTGCCTGTAATTGATTGTGAATTTAGTCCCAAACACAACTATATCCCTCGACTTACGAACTTACTTTTACTTTCTCTACACAGAGCAATTAAAACAGCAGCTGCGCGAGCTGGAGTCGCGCGGCAACGACTCGCTGGCGGTGTACGGCAACAACATGGCGGAGCTGTGCCAGCGCGTCAAGCAGGCCGTCGCTAGGGGAGAGTTCAGCGCGCCGCCGAGGGGACCCATCGGTGAGACACAGAGACACTTCCCCTACACAGCAACTGAAGCAGCAGCTGCGCGAGCTGCAGTCGCGCGGCAACGACTCGCTGGCGGTGTACGGCAACAACATGGCGGAGCTGTGCCAGCGCGCCGCCGAGGGGACCCATCGGTGAGACTTGTAGAGACACATAGGGCCATTTAAACATTTAAGTCATCTAACATAAACACCTTTCAGGAACGGAGAGACATCTCGGTGACACCGAGACATCTTAGTAATGCAGAAGCGTCTTATTAACGCACAGACATCTTAGTAACCCAAAGACATCTTAGTAACGTAGACATTTCAGTAACATCAGCCATACAATATATGGACATCAGCCAGATAGTTTTGACAGTTCCAACTTGCCAGACAGTTTTTTTAGGATAGCTGCCAAAGCCACGATGACTCAAACTTCATGATTCACCAACATTCTATCCTATATTGGGAGCATACGCTGACAAACTTTCAGCTTTTGTAAAATGACGTTAGGTTAGGCATTCACCAACTCTTAATGTAATGTAACGTTCTTACAAATGGTACAATATAGCTAAATGTACGACGTTTGTTTCGAGAAAGGGTAAACACTAGAACATATTTTAGAGCAGCTCGTTGTTCTGTTACAAGTAAATGCTCTAGTATATACTCACGCAGATACACCTGAGAAAGAGACATTTCAGTAACACACATTTTATGTTCGTAGGTTCATACCTGAAAGTGAAGGATAAAAAGTGGGGGGGTGTTTTGGAACACATCATCGGAGGTTCGTTGACGTCATTCTGCGTCAACTCCCCGGAGGACTCCAGGAAGCTATTCGAGATAATGGGCCAAGTAAGTTTTTCTTCATTCATCTATCTATAACATAAACGACATAAACCATGTCACAAGTTGTTTGAAAGAGAACACGGTTGTTTGCTTTTGATGATTCAATAAAATATGCCTCCCTTCCTCTGGGCTTAAGATGTGATAGCTCAAGTTTAAGCTGCGCTTGCGCATCGTAAGTCTGCAATCTGTGAGAACATAGTGGCGTTTCGTGCGCCTCGTGGCACATTTTTTGTTCTATTCATCTAATTTGTATTAAAAATAGTTAAATTCTCACGGGCTACATTTTTGCTGTCACTTTGACCGCGTGTGTGATACTGACACGACCGATTTTGCTGGAACTATATAATAATATGCCTAGGGATATGGTCTCCTATCAAATACAATACGCGGCTAAGGCTTACGAAAGGCGTCAAACGTTCCTGTCGACGTCCTAAGTATCAATATTCCTATGTCAACTTATTGAACTTGAAGAAAACTACAACAGTAAATTTTTATAGTAAGCATTGTGCCCTACGGCGTTTATAGGAGACCAAATCCTTACTTCATGACGTGTCAGTATTATTGGTACTGACGGAGTTATCATGTTAGGTGTACGGTCGCGCGGGCAAGCCGGCGGTGACATCTAGCAAGTTTCTACCGCGCGCGCACGATGTAAGACGACATAAGGTGCGCGCGGCGGGCTTCACGTGCGCTTTGGACGCGCTCGACGCGCCCGACCCTGTTATTGCCAACTACCTCATTGATAATGTTGGTTTAGAGAGCGTGCTGCTGGTGCCTAGCCATGGTGAGTTTTTTTGTGGCTTCGTGATATTTGTCGATAATAAGTTCAGTAACAGACCATTTAGTAGGGAGATGTTATACTATCCCAAACACCCTGTATAGAAATTCATGATGTAGTGTGTGTATGTTGATAAAATTCCAATAACAGGTTGTTCTCTCTGCACAAACGCCTCTTCTTCTTTATATCTTATCGATTAAGCGATATCCGGTACACTTGGATGCGGGTAGTAAGCATGGGACCAGTTGTTGTGGAAATCTCCTCCAGCTTTTGAAGCTCTAAACTGCAACTGGTTGAGACGAAAGCCAGATTTTAAAGACTAACTAGTATATCTCTCCTTCAGAGGACGCGGTCCGTCTCTCCGACACGGTAGAGAACGTTCCGGAGAACTGCGCACGCGTCGTGACCCTAGAATGTGGCGAATACTACCCAGCGCCCAACTACCGCTGCTACGGCGGCACGGCGCGCCCCACGCGGTATTTGCAGGTCAGCACGGCCGAGCGCAAGAGGTTAGTGAACGTTATTATCTTCTTCTTCATTTATAAAAGTGCATTTTGTCTAGGGGGGCTGGCGTCATGAGTCGACTCCAGTGTTGTATTCCTAATTTATTTTTTCTATTTTTTGTGTGTATTTTCTCAACATAGCAAAATTGGTGCGGTGAGATAGTGGCGCCCTCTTGTCAATGTCAATGTCTTGTTTAAAGTTTTGTTTTTTGTATTTAAAATGTTGGTTGGAGAGGCACCCGCTGAAAACCAGCGTCGGGGCACGCGTGCATGCACGCGTCCCTTTGTTCTGTTTTTCTGTTTTCTTTTGTGTCAAATAAAGTTTTTCTTATTTTTATTCTTATTCTTCTTAGTCGGGAACTTCTTGGGCGAGGCAAATAGCTCGTAGACGATGGCCGTTGGGGCAGGAAAGTTCTCGAGTGGCGACCACGGGCTGGAAGACGTAGCGTGGGCGGGCAGGCCTCCTACTAGGTGGACCGACGATCTGGAAAAGGTCGCGGGAAGAGCCTGGATGCGGGCAGCGCAGGACCGTTCATTGTTGAAAACCTTGGGGGAGGCCTTTGTCCAGCAGTGGACGTCATTTGGCTGAGACGACGAGTCGGGAACTCTTGTCAGAGTGGTCGTGGTTAGCTGACGAGTTACACGATGGGGTGTTCGGTTAAATTTCTGAGGGTAGCTCACCTGGCGATGTGCCTCGATTTCTGTCCGTTAGAGGCGTCGTGACTGAAGAATATTATACAGCTTATTTATGGCTTCGCCAAATACAAAACGTACCAAGCGTAGCCTAGCACCTCTATAAAGTACTGCTAGCCCCGATGTGACGGGATACATTCAGTTCGACGGTAAACTACTGTCATGTCACGGTACAATACAACTTCGGCGGTGTTAGAACACACCTTTTGGCGAAGTTTTATGCCTATCCGTTTTCCTTTGTTCACAAGACTAATGCACAGACTTATCATAAGTGGAATTTGTTTAGGCAAGTGCAATCCGAGATCCAAGAAGCGGAATCGCGCCTCAAAGCGCTGGAAGCGAAAGCCGAGGAATTGAACCAAGAGTTGCGCGAGGCGCGGGACAACGAGCGCGCTGCGAGCCGGACGCTTCAAGCGCTGGTCGGGGAACGCCATGAGAAGGACGAAGCGGCCAGGACCGCGGCCGCCGCTTTGGAACAGCAGCAAGCGCCGCACCATGCTGTACTGGTAAGTGTGGAATGGTTATAGTACGGTGATATGTGATAAAGATCTTCGGAAGAGAAGAAGAGGAAACGTGTCAGCTTTGACAGATTAAACCCGTTGCTACTTTTTTATATTACTGACGTGGGACTAACCACCAATAGTTCTAACCACTGCAACTCCTGTATAGCCAGGATCTAGTTTGATCGACGTGAACCCAACCATAGAAGGTTGAATAATTATTCAAGTAGAACCTTATATCTATCTAGGACCGACTATTTGAACCTCGCAATGATGTATACTCACACCGACTTCCCTCTAATACAAAGAGAGAGACAGAAACACCACGATTCACGTGAGTTGTTTACTATCTGTTACTGCTAAAGCCCGGTCCGTGAGCACGCAGAATTTTCTCCAATGACCCCTAGCTACCCATCCATAGCGCTCGCGCGTAATTATATTTCCGTCGCGACTGTGCGACGGTTGCCCGCAGTGAGTGTGCGAGCGCGATAGCAACATAATTACGCGCGAGCGATAAGGATGGGTAGCTTGGGGTCATTGGACAAAATTCTACGTGCTCACGGACCAGACTATAGTAAAAGACGCTCAGAAATCCGAAAATGTTCGACAAACATATACCCTTTTGTTGTCACTTCGAATTGCACTTTTTCAATTCTATTTCACATTCCATAGTTGGACGAGCTAAACATCTCTAAAGAGAAGCTGCGTACCATCTCGGAGAAGCTCGCCTCGCACTCGCAGCAGTCGCAGGCGCTGCGGCGCCGCATCGACGAGCTCGACGCCGGCGCGAGGCGCGCCAAGAACCGGCTGGCAGACGTGTCAGCTGCCTGCCGCAGCATGAGCGTGAGTCATTGGCATGGTTACACGACTAAAGCCTGGTCCGTGAGCACGTAGAATTTTGTCCAATGACCCCAAGCTACCCATCCTTATCACTCACGCGTAATGAGGGCTATCGTTTTAGCGCTCACCAGTTAGCGCCACTGTAGAGTAAGGTCACTTGCTAGTCGCGAAGACAGTGGCACCAACTGGTGAGCGCTAAAGTGGTAGGAGGACTATCGCATTTGCACTCATCAAGATGGCGCCACTGTAGAGTAAAGTCCTGTCAATCGCCAGGGGTGCCAACTGTTAAGTATAAAAACGATAGCCCTCATTATATTGCTGTCGCAACTGTGCGACGGGCGCCCGCAGTGAGTGTGCGAGCTCACGGACCAGGCTTTAGCTGGACATCTCCAAGAAGCTGCGTACCATCTCCGAGAAGCTCGCTTCTTACTCGCAGCAGTCGCAGACGTGTCCGCTGCCTGCCGCAGCATGAGCGTGAGTGATTGACGATGGTTACGTAAATTTTATATCAGACTAGCGGCCGCCCGCGACTTCGTACGCGTGGATCCCGTTTTACCCCCTTTTCCCGAATTTTCTTTGCTATAAACCTCACGGAGCCCGAGACCTTTCCAACGAATGCAAAACCGTGGAAATCGGTTCGTGCGTTCTGGAGTTATAGCGTCAGGGAGGAAAACCCGACTTATTTTTATATAGTAGATTATAGTATCCTGCATTGACAGTTAAAAATAATGTGTGGAAAAAAAATTAAGCGTGGGTATAAAATTGTTTTTGAGATAGGGAATAGCGATTTTTGAGATATTAGCCAGCAGGGTTGTGTGGAATTGATGTCACACTTGAGGGGCAGAAAAGTTCTCAAGTGGCGACCACGGGCTGGAAGACGTAAGGTGGACCGACGATCTGGTAAAGGTCGCGGGAAGAACCTGGATGTGGGCAGAGCAGGACCGTTAATTATGGAAAGCCTTAGTGGAGGCGTTTGTCCAGCAGTGTACGTCATTTGGCATTCAATAAATGGACTTCAAAGAGTAAACTATGTTCTAATTGAACCTCTTACACGACCCTCAAACACCAACACATTACAGCTGAAACGAACGAACGAACGATGTCACACTGACGGGAGTGGGAATTGCTTTACTCGTCAGAAAATAACGTTGCGTTGGCGCCGCACGAACGAAATGCCAGCATTACGCCACGTCCATTCTGCGCAGACGCTGGCCGACGACGACGCTAGCGTGAACCCTTATCAAACAAAATCTTAATCGTTATCAGGAAGAGATCGAGCAAGAGCAACTGAAGCAGGCGCAAGGCGCAAGCGAGCGGCAGGCGTGCCAGCAGAAGCTGAAGGAGGACCAGCACAAGTTAGCGCAGGTGGCCAGTGTACTCGAGGAGAAGACTGCACACATCGAGAAGCTCACCGCAGAGGCGCTCACGCTGTGCGAGCGCGTCCAGAACCCGAGGTGAGTGAGCATTTTCAAGGCGAGAGTGAATAGGCACTTATTTTATTTAGGACTAGCTTTCCGCCCGCGGCTTCGCCCGCGTAGAGTTTTGTCTGTCACAGAAAAACAATATCGCGCACGTATTTGCTCACCGTTTAGACCTACCCTGGACTACGACAAACATTTTAAAACCAAAATCAGCTCAATCGGCCCAGCCGTTCTCGAGTTTTAATCAGACTAACGAACATCAATTCATTTTTATTTATATAGAATAGATTTCAATAGATAGATAGATAACAAACAATAGTACAATTCAGATATGCAGTAAAGTTCTGGGTAGATATGTACTATCCTAGACTGCATCTCACTTAACACCAGATGCGATTTCGGTCAAATACCTGCCTATATTGCAAATACATACATAAAAAAATTCACGCATATTGTTACTTCGGGACTCAAAAGGTGTAACCGCCACTTAAGTCAAAAAATTACTTTGAAATGCATTCTAATATAATTTTATTTTCACTCTATCGATCAGTATATTTGAAGTTCCTCAATTTTTTATTATTCGGGTTAATATTTGTCTTAATCACGAATTTTATATACGCTTTAGTATGAATGCTAAAACTTTATTAAAGTGCACGGAGCGGGCACCCGCTTCGGACGTGTAACGGAGCCCGAAGTCGCACCGCTGGGACAAGTTTCTGCGCATGTGGAAACCCATCTCACGCGTTCGACACTTAGTTGCTATTATTTTTTTCAATACACTCGTCAATGCGCCTGCGCAATTTTTAGCGTAGGCCCTTAATATCGTCCTTTTTTTCACTGGATTTCAATTCAATGTAACAAATTCCAGTCTACAACAGCTGTACTTTCCTCCAGGGACCGCGCCATAGTGACCAATGAGCTGAAGAAGACACAACTGAAGCTGAGTTCGATCCGCAGCGATGGACTGACCAAGGCGCAGGTGGCGGAGCGGCTACTGGAGGTGGAGCGCAAGTATCGCCGCACCAAACAGACGCTGGCTCGCCTCAAGG